TAATCTCAAGGCTCAAAGGACATTGCAGCAATGAGAATCAACTCGAAGCCTGCAAAGGCTTGATTTCAACAACAGGCTTTGTGGGCTAGAGTGGTTGTGTTGTAGTTGTTTTCCAGTTAATACAACTCATTGAAGAAAAGGCTTTCTAGAAAGTTTCTCTCACTAATAATTACCTGTTATGGATTTGAAGATTACAAATAATTTACTGGCTTTAGAAACTGCCCGTGCTTCATGCAGTCTGTTGCTGTCCATCTTGTTTATTTTCGTGACATCTTTGGCTGGATGTGGGGAGGTGTTACGAGGAGGCAAGATCGTTTTTTTCCATGTGGCTGTTGAAGAAAACAGTGTCTGCAAGGGAACCACAATATAACTCTGTAAAAAACAAACAAAAAACCGAGTTGCCATTGAATCAATTCCAACTCATGACCACCCATGTATGTCAGAGCAGAACTGTGCTCCAATAGGGTTTTCAATGGCTGATTTTTGGGAAGTAGATCGCCAGGCCTTTCTTCCAAGCCACCTGTGGGCGGAATTGAACCTCCAACCTTTCAGCTAGCAGCCAAGTGTATTAACTGATTGCATCACTTAGGGACTCCCAGTTGTTGTTGTTAGCTGTTGGCCCCAAATCATGGTGACTATGTATATAACAGAACGAAACATTGCTTAGTCCTGCCCCGTCTTCATGATCGTTGGTATGTTTGAGTCCACTGTTGTGGTTATTGTGTCAGTCCGTCTCATTAAGGGTTTCCCTTGTTTTCGCTGACCCTCTACTTTACCTACCATGATGTCATTTTCTAGTGATTGGTCTTTCCTGATGACATACCCAAAGCAAGCAAGCCGAAGTCTCATCATCCTTGCTTCTAAGGAGTATTCTAGTTGTATTTCTTCTCAAACTGATTTGTTCATTCTTATCATAGTCCACAGTATATTCAGTGTTCTTCATCGACACCACAATCTGAATGCATCAATTCTTCTTCTGTCTTCCTTCTTCATTGTCCAGCTTTTACATGCACATGTGATGATTGAAAAGACCATGGCTTGGGTCAGATGCACCTTAGTCATCAAAGTGACATCTTTGCTTTTTAAAACTTTGAAGAAAATGCTTAGAAGCAATAAATACAAATTTGACCTCTTTAAGAAAAAGAAATAGTCAAAAACAGCAATCAAGTGTAACCTGGTCCAGCTTCTTCCCTGGTTGTGTAAGGTAGGTACTGATTCCAAGAGAGGAAGGAGCGGGAGGCTGGTTGCTAGGCAACCGGCTCCCATGGGGAGGAAAGCAGCAGTGTGTTGGCTATAGACCACATAAAAGATGGACCAGGACCGAAGGAAGAAGGAAGCTCAGACACTTCCTCCATCTCCTGCTTTGGAGCTGGAGAAAGAAAGATACACAAAGACCCAAGTAAAGGATGGTTTCAGAGCCAATTAGTAGGGCTGCTCTTTGCAGGAAAAAGCCAGCTAATTAGCGAGGTGTGAAGAAATCGTTCTGATGTTTAGGCTATGCCAGAGATGAGCTGAGGGGAAGCTTTTTGAAGCCTGGAAGCACTGAGAAAGAGCAAGTGAAGGTTTTCCTGAGAGGTTGAAGGGAAGCCAAAGGGAAGCAGAGATCGAAGGCAGTTGAGCTTAATGTCAAAATGGTGTCTTCACATCTCTCTGGTTATCCCCACTGGAGTAAAGGTGCTTGCTGACTAAGGTGTAAGAGTAAGCCTCCAGAACCAACTGCCTGAGTTCACTTAGCTTTACCACTTGCTAACAGTGTTGCCAAGGGCAAGCTATGTAACCTCTCTGTGCTTCAGTTTTCTCATCCATGAAATGGGCATAATTATAGTACCTACCTCATAAGGTCGTTGTGAGAATTAAGAGTTAATATGTGTGTGGAATTAAGAGTTAATATGTGCATATTCAATATACAGAAAGAAAAATAAAGTAGTGGTCACTAACACTGACATTGCACTTCAACTTGGTGTTGTTAGATGCCGTCAAATCAGTTCTGACTCAGCAGCCCTGTGAACACCAAAACAGAACACTGCCTGGTCCTGTGCTATCCTCACAATAGTTGCTGTGTTTGAGCCTATTGCTGTAGCTGCTGTGTCTATTCATCTCATTAAGAGTCTTCCTCTTTTTTGCTGACCCTCTCTTTTATCAAGCATGATGTCCTTCTCCAGGGACTGGTCCCTCCTGATAACACGTTCGAAGTATGTGAGAGGAAGTCTTGCCATCTTCGTTTCTAATGAACATTCTGGCTGTACTTCTTCCAAAACAGATTCATTCGTTCTTTTGGCAGTCCATGGTATATTCAATATATTTTGTCAACACCATAATTCAAATGCATCAATTCTTCTTCATTCTTCCCTATTTATTATCCAGCTTTCACATTCATATGAGGCGATTGAAAATACCGTGGCCTAGGTCAGGCACACCTTAGTCCTCAAGGTGATGGCTTTGCTTTTTAACACCTCAGGGTCTAGCACATAGTAAATGCTCAAAAATGAATGAGTGTCTGCCTCTTCCTAGTAGGATTTACACTCTTTGAGAGTAGGGGCCTTATTTGTCTTGTTGATCACCAGTCCCTTGGTACAGGCTAAGTCCTCAATATATATTTGTTGAATGAATAAATGAATGTCCAGAGAGCCATCCGTCATCAAGCGTAATTTCTCAGGCCTCACGCAAGGCTCACCTTTAGGCTACAGGGTGTGTAATTCACCTGCCTGCAGTTTCTGTAGCTTCCCCCTACTTCACTTTATGGCAGATAGAATAGAGTATACCAAGAGCAACAGCTTATTGGCAGGGGAACAGTCATTGGAGGTATTTCTAAAACATTATAAGCCCATTACCCTAGGAGCCATGCCCCTCACCATCAGGTGACCTGCTGCTTCTCTAGCTACCTCTTCATTCCACTTGCTGGCAACCACAGAAAGAAAGCATCAGCTCCCGTCCTGTGCATCCATCTCCTCTTCTCCTGGCTCCTGTCTTCTTGGCTTTCTTCCTGAGCCTCCCACACCCTTTCTTTCTTCTTTGGAGGCATAGTGATTCCAGACCAGGTCTCTGGAGCCTAATTACTTGAGTTGGAGTCCAGGCTAGGCCACTGACTAGCTGTGTGGCTTTGGGCAAGGTACTTCACCTCGCTGAGCTTCAGTTTTCTCATCTGTAAAATAGGCATGCCCCATGGAGATGTTGTGAGGATTAGATGAATTGACGTATGTGAAGTGCTTAGAGCTGCGACTGGCCCATGGTAAGTTCTATCTAGTTGTTGTTATTGTAAAGCACTTATTCAGCACATGCTCAGTTGTGATCTTTTTCTAGACTGGAGGATTTGAAGCTTTAGAAAACAAAATTAGCCAGCGCTCTCCAAGTGAAATCTTAAAAAGTACTCCAGGATAAAAACAGAGTCGAAGGTGGCTCATCTGGTCATCTCAGCAGTGAATGTCCCAGAAGCTGTCAACCCCCTCAAGCTCTCCTTCAACAACCAAAAACCAGTATTCCTCAAAGTGTGCCCGTGGACTAGCAGCCTCAGAAATCACCTGGGTATTAAAATGCTTACTAAAATTGCAGAACTTTGGGCCCCAGACCTATGACTCAGGTTCTCTGTGGGCAGTGCCTCGGAATGTGCATTTTAACGCAGTCTTCAGGTGATTCTTGAGCACACGGAAGTGTGAGAACCAGCTCAGGGAGTACTACTGGAAGGTCACCTTCCAATAGGTCCTTCCTTTTCCCCACTCCTTTCAGGGTAGTGGAATTCCTATAATCCTTCTGTTTACTTTTGCCCTAAAGGTAAGGAAAAGGAGGATGGCATCTCACTTGGGAAACGGCAGCTACAAACTGGAGGGTTCCTCCATTGGTAGCACTGCACCATCCCACTGTATCCACCTCAACTCCTACGTTCTACCCCCAAGGCTGAGTATGACCCAGGCCTAGACCAAGATCTACAGGCATTCTAAACCCTCTGGTGGTGCAGTGGTTGAAGCGCTTGGCCACCAACCAAAAGGTCCCATCACCACCATCCTGAGAGATTCACAACCAAAATCAAAACAATAAACCAGTTACCATCAAGTTGATGCTGACTCATGGTGACCTCATGTGCATCAGAGTAGAACTGTGCTCCATGCGGTTTTCAAGGAGTGGTTTTTCAGAAGTAGATTGCCAGACCTTTCTTCCGAGGCACCTCTGGTAGACTCAAACCTCCAACCTTTCAGTTAGTAGCCAGGCACATTAACCATTTTCACCACTGAGGGACTCCAATCAGAACAGTACTGTCTTAGTCATCTAGTGCTGCTATAACAGAAATACCACAAGTGGATGGGTTTTAACAAAGAGAAATTTATTCTCTCACAGTCTAGTAGGCTGCAAGTCTAAATTCAAGACATCAGCTCCAGGGGAAGGCTTTCTGTCTCTGTCGGCTCTGGAGGGAGGTCCTTGTCATCAGTCTTCCCTTGGTCTGGGAGCATCTCAGCGCAGGAACCTCAGGTCCAAAGGATGCTCTCTGTTCCCGGTGCTGCTTTCTTGGTGGGATGAGGTCCTCATGTCTCTCTGCTCACTTCTCTCTGTATAACTCCAAAGGGATTGGCTTAAGACACTATCCAATCTTGTATACTTCATCAGTATAACTGCTGCTAATCCATCTTCTTAGATCATAGTGATAGCATTTACAACACATAGGGAAATCACATCAGATGATAAAATGGTAGACAATTATACAATACTGGGAATCATGACCTAGCCAAGTTGACAGATATTTTTGGGAGACACAATTCAATCCATTACAAGTACTAAATCTTAACATAGGACAAGGAAGACAACACATTCTGATAGTTCCCATGGTGATTACTTTGAGGCTTTTAAAAAAGTTTAAATTCCTTTCAAATCAACTTTTTTTTCCTTTTTTTTTTGTGGGCAGGGTGGAGGCTCCTGATTCGCTGGTTTTGCAGGTATGCTCCTTGTCAACTTTTCGGTACTCCTGTGCTGTGGCTTAATCCTCTCTCTCATTCTGCCTACCTTTCTCATAGGCCTGCATGAAATCCAGTGCTCGCTGCCCATGGAGAACAGAAGGATATTCCTGCACGAGCTGTCGGAGGCCAGCTTCAGCGAGTGCAAGTTCAGCCTCTCGCTCACGGACCTGTTCATCATCATCTTCTCGGGCGTGGCTGTGTCCATCACCGCCATCATTTCCAGCTTCTTCCTAGCCACCATGGTGCAGTGCTTCCAGAGGTGTGCCCCCAACAAAGACACTGAGGATGAAGATGAGGATGAAGATGACTGAACCACCCCCTCCCATTCTTTGCTTTCCAGTATCCAAGCCAGTGGGTCCTCTCAAAGCTGAGAGGGAAATGCTGAAAACAGAAAGGAATTGACCAGCATCTGCGAACTGAGTAGAGTCTTGCTCCTTGTAGTTTCTTGGACCCTGAGCTCCAGGTGGGACCTCCAATCACAGAGTTTAGCATCAGCAGAGTAGAGGAGCCCAGGAAGGATCAAGGGAATCATTCCTGGCGGAGAGCCTGCCTCTCCATTTGACGTGTGTGTGGGGAGAGGATGACCAAGTCAAGCTTCATAGCTGATGGTTGAAAACCTTCCGAGGAGATTTGAAGACTTGCACCTTTTGAGTGAAAAGATGATTTTGTGTCATTGATTTCTCTGACCTGTGCTGGGAGATCAAACTGTCCCCCTTCTCCTAAGAGACAGCAACTTGCACAGTGGGAATTCAAGTTCAGATCATTCTCCGTGGGACTGGGAATTTTACTCTTTATATAATAGGCCTCAGAAACCTTGGGATGTTATGCAGAGAACTAATAAATCCATGTGTAGCTACAATGACACCAAGGAAGAAGTTAAGAAATGGCCAAAGGTTTTTATTTTTTCTTTTTTAATAATTTGTTTTATTTTTGTTGTTGTTGAGAATATACATAGCAGAACATATGCAAGTTCAATGGTTTCTACATGTACATTCAGTGACATTGATTATTTGTTGTTGTTGAGAATATACGTAGCAGAACATATGCAAATTCAATGGTTTCTACACGTACATTCAGTGATATTGATTACATTCTTCAAGTTGTGCAACCATCCTCATCCTCCTTTTCCAAGCTGGTCCTCACCCATTAACAGAAACTCACTCGCTGCTCAGTTGCCTATCTAATCTTTCAAGATGCTATTGTCCATTTGATGTCATCTAGAGATAGATCTTAAAAGAGCACAGTGCTCAAGACGGACATTCTTTATTAGTTAAGCTAAACTATTGTTTGGTTTTGAGAAGACTTCAAGGGATATTTTTGGTTTAGGGTTTAAAGATGACCTCAGGACAATAGTTTCAGGGGTTCCTCCAGCCTCTGTGGATCCAGAAAGTCTAGATTCCATGAGAATCAAAGGGTTTTTATTGTTACATTTTTGTGAGTGGGTTGGATAAACTTTTATAGACATAGCTCAAACCCTGATCCTTATCCCAATAGATAGCAGCTTATAAAGGCAAGAATAGTTGCTTTGTACAATCGTAATGATATCTTTGCTAAGAATCACTCTTTCCTCAGAAGTACAAGCAAGTTGTTTCCCTTTCCTACCCCCTACCCTGAGTCCATCCTCAGCCAAATAATGCTTCACCATTCTCCATGCTCCTGCAGTGTCAGACCTGACAGCTCCAGAGCTTGCAGGAAACTTCCCTGGAGGCCAGGACTCCAGTAAGCAAGTTGTGCTGGACCAACAAATGTTAAACCCTGGGACTTGACTTCTGAAAAAACCTCTGTCAATGGCTTTAGGGGGTGTGTGACATTTCTTTGGAACATAGGCTGTGACAAGCAGTGTTTTTTAGGATGTGGAATGTGGCAGTTTGGTTCAGAGACAATGTGAAACAAACAAAATCATTTGCCCCGCTGGATTAACGCAAGATGACTTGTGTTAGCAACATTGGACCATGCTGGGGATTGAGACTTGAACTAGGGCCTCCTGAGAAGCTCCTGGGGTAATTTTGGGAATCCCTTCTCCATTGTTTCTCATAATATATCCCTTATGTTTCCTTCCTCCGTCACTCCCTTCCATCTTTGCTTCCACAAATATTTATGGAGTGCTTGCTAAGTGCCAGGCACTGTTCTAGGCACTGCAGATCAGCATGGAACAAGAAAGACAGAGTCCCTGCTCTCCTTTCCCTTATATTCTGATGGGTAGAACATAAAACAGACAAGTAAAGGCAAGTGTAATTTTAGGTAGTGATAAACACCAAAACCAAACCAAACCAGTTTCTGTCAAGTCAGCTCCAACTCATGGTGACCCCTTGTGTGTCAGGGTAGGACTATGCTCCACAGGGTTTTCAGTGGCTGATTTTTTGGAAGTAGATTGCCAAACCTCTCTTCCAAGGTGCCTCTGGACGGACTTGAGCCACCAACTCTTCAGTTAGCAGCCGAGCATGTTAACTGTTTGCACCACCCAGGGACTCCTGTGATAAGCATCATGAAAGAAATAAGCAAGGTCATGTGACAAACAGCCACTGGTAGGAGCCATTCTAGAGTAGGTGGTTGGAAGGCCTCTCATTGGGTGGCTTTTGAGCTGAGCTTGTTACCTGCTTGCCTTCATCCTCCCTCCCTCCTTTCCTACTCTTAATCGTTTTTTATACTCATCCTTCTTCCCCCTTCACCTTTGAGGAGACCCTCAGATACCCTTCCTGTTCCCCAACATTGTTGAGACCAGTGGAGGAGACCCCTGGCTCAGAGGGGCTGTCTCCTCAGAGTCGTTGGGCAAGTGGAGAAGGAGAAGCATCTTCCCCTGCTCCATGGCAGCATCAGCGCCAGTGCTGTTCTCTCCTGAGGGAGCTACCTCTGTGGGCTCTGACCCTCAGCCCTCCTCAGTACAGGGAACACTTCTGTTGAGGAAACAACACGGGAAAACTGAAATTGATCATCACTAACTGTTAGGAGTTAGCATAGCAACAACTGTGAGGATGGCGCAGGACTGGGCAGTATATTGTTCTGTTGTACATAGGGTTGCTATGAGTCGGAACCGACTCAATGGCACCTAACAACAGCTGTTAGGAATGAGGGCAGTGGTGGTTCAGTGGTAGAATTCTCATCTTCCATGTTGGAGACCTAGGTTCGATTCCCAGACAGTGCACTTCATGGGCAGCCACCACCCATCTTGTCAGTGGAGGCTTGCGTGTTGCTATGATGCTGAACAGGTTTCAGCAGAACATCCAGACTAAGATAGACTAGGAAGAAAGACCTGGCAATCTACTTTAAAAAATCAGCCAATAAAAACCCTGTGGAGCATGGTCATGGGGATGGTGTGGGACCTGGTAGCATTCGTTCTCTTGTGCATGAGTCGCCATGATTTGGGGCCTGACTCTACAGCAGCCAACAACAGCAGTTACTGCTTTAATTCCTGTCTACGTGTTCCAGTGATCATTTACACCCTAATGTCAATGAAGGTTCAAAGGTTCCTGAAGAAGGACTTTCGCCAGGAGAGAGGGAAATGCCACTGACATTTGGTCACATGAGGGAAGATCAGAAAAGATCAGTGAGGCAGGCCGAGAGCTTCCGAAGCTGAGAGTTTCTAACGTCAGCGCCTCCTCAGTTTTGTTTGGTGCACCCCAGCCTGTCCATGGATTCAACTGGTGATACTCGTGTGGGCTTGGACTTGCTGCCTGTCCCTTCCCCACCCCTATGAGCACCATTCCAGGGACACATTGAAAGGTCTTGAACCTCAGCCAGAGTCACAGTTTTACTCTCCTGGAATCCTAGGGAGATGGTGGCCCCCCGCTGTGAGTAACAGCACGAGACCCTTGTTCTAATGGGTTCTGGTGGATGAATTCCCGCTTGATGAGTCTTGTATTCCTTTCACTGGCCCCCAGCAATTCATTCTGGTCAGCAGACTCGGCTGTTTCCTTAGGGAGCCCAGGCCCTGCGCAGAGTAGGGGCCTGGTGATCATTTACTGAATTAATTAATGGACAGGGACTGGCAACCAGGGGCTTGTTGGGTGAGAATCAACCATCATTTCTGCCAGCTGTGCCCCAGCGCTTTGGACTAAACATGGTTCTGGGGCAGAAAAGGAGGTTTAAAAAATCACCAGTTGAAACAATTACTTACTGCCTAGGTATAGTTTCTGTGAAACACTGAGGACACTGGGGATGTGGGGTCATTGGGGACATCTGCAGTGAGGCCCGAGAAAACACACTGACATCAAAGGAGGGGAAAATGCCTTTTGAAGGGTGACCTTGCCCAGCCAATAGGCAATGACTTGATGCTCCCTGACTTGCCTTCAAGTTTCAAGTTATTATTATTAACAATGACGATGACAGGGCTGCACACCAGGTGAGACTTGTGCGGGGTCGGACTTGCTGCCTGTCCCTTCCCCACCCCCGTGAGCACCATTACGGGGACACATTGAAAGGCACTCAGTGCCAGAAATGCCCCTCTTTCACATCTCCACAGGTGTCCTGTGAGTCTCAGTTCAAATGCCACCTCCCCAGAGTCACTCTCATCACACCACCCCATGTTATTTTCTGCAGAGCGCATACCATGATCTGAAATTATCCTGTTTGTTTGTTTACATGTTCGTTCGCCATCTCCTTGGACGCCTGAGTTTCTTAGAGTTGTCGTGACACGAATACCACAAGGGAATGGCTTTAAAGAGCAGAAATTTGTTTTCTCAGTTCTGGAGGCTAAAAGTACAAATCCAGGTCTCAGCTGTATCCACTCCTTCCTTGTAGGTAGCCCTGGGCATTGCTTGGTTCCTGGGTTTGTAGATGATCCTCACATGGCATCTGTTTTCCCCCGTGTGTGTGTGTGTGTGTATGTGTGTGTGTGTGTGTGTGTGTGTGTGTGTGTATGTGTATCTCTGTGTCTAATCTGCTCTTTTTGTAATCCACAAGTGATTAGATTTAGAACCCACCCTACCTGAGTGCGTTCTAATTAACATAACAAAGAGAACTGTATTTCCAAACATGATGACATACACAGGTAGGTATAGGGGTTAGGATTCCAACACATATTTTGGGGGGACACAATTTAATCCATAACATTCCACCCTGTGACCCCCCAAAATTCACGTCCTTCTCACATGTAAAACACATTTACCCTCTCACACTGGACTAGGGCAGAAACTCAGGCTGTTGGTGTTCCCAGCCTTTAGAACAGTGCCTGACACACAGCAGGTGCCTACTACATATTGGTTGAAAGAACAAATGAATTCCAGGCACTGTACTAGGTACTCTACAAACACAAGCTCCATTTTAGCATAGGAAACTGTAGGAAAGAGCTACTCTTATTCCAGTTTTATAGATG